AAAAACTTGAATAAAAATAAAAAAAAATTGTAAAAGTAAAGTGAGTATTATTTAGCGAAAACTTATTTAAAAGAAAAAATAAATAAAAATGTTCGATTTTTAAAGAAAAAGATGATTAGTTAAATATATTCGTCGCAACGCATCACATGTGACATGTTCTATCACGTAGCGTGACGACGCGTCGCCACGGCATCCGTCACTTACACCTGGTCTGAATGTGGAGGCGCATTAAAAGTTTTACAACAAAACCTAACCTGTTAATTTTGAGTTTCCAACCTTCTGCTCAAATTAATGTAAGTAGGTACAACGCATTCGTCTTAATGCAGCACACTGTAAATCGTCAGTTATCTCTAGAACATTGACAACTAAATAATTCCAAGGTTTAACACCCACACTAGTGTCGTTTAAAAACTCCCAGTTTAGGGTAGACAACCCTTCATTACCATTTAAAGTGGTGCAAACGCTCGCAATGCGATAAGAGATTATGTAAATTCGGATCAAATTGTTAGTGGCCAGAGATTTGTCGTCCTAATCCTACGCACCAAGGGTAGCTTGAAATGTTCATTTTTTGATATTTTTAAGGTATTTTTTTTCCTATCCTTACATATTATTAAATGAAGTCCCCCGGCCGTGTCTGTCTGTTTGCAACGCGATAAACTAAAAATTACCGAACGGAGTTTTTGCACGGTTTTTTTTCGGTTTTCACCTAAACCTTAATCAGGAATCTAAAGAAATCTAAATATCTATTGATAAAGATAGTGTGATTCCTAAGGAAGGTGTATTATTCATTATGTTTATATGTAAATGAACTGAAATAAAACGATTATCGTTGAAGAGGTCGCAAAAAACATGGCCACTGGGTGCGTTACTCGCGTACGCCTCGTAAACCAGCAGAAATCAAGTAATATAAAATACAGTAAATTGAGATTATCCTAAGTAGATATAACTCACTTGTTAATATTAACAAAAGGATCACAGTTACCGAAATCCATGCGGGCGACGCTGCAGGAGGAAGCTAGTACTCATTATTAAGGTGATACCTTAATAATGAGTAGGTACTAGCTTCCAACACTCATTCACACCCATATTTCGAAATGAGTAAGCAGAGGTGTAAGTAGGTGCATTAAACGCTCTCATTTTGGCCATTATTTTATCATTTTAATCCCACTTACGTAAAATGGGGAAGAACAAAGAGAATTGAAAGATAAAGAATTGGATGGGAAAATTAGGGGTATGTTGAAAGGCATGTTAGAAAAGAAGGGAAGGGATAGAAAAAGAGATATTGCTCACACGAAATGTAAACAATAGCTCGAGCAGGGCCCGAGACTCATATCTTTAATTCGAATTGTCCATATGAATTGAAAATCCGAGCCCTAAGTCCTAACTAAAGACCGATGAACTCTACTCACAGGACTTCTATAACTAATTAATATTTACTTTATCCTTAAATAAAAGCGAGCCTGTATGCATTTTTTTCGCAAAGTTACTTTGGGTTTCGGGTAATTAAGGGTCACTAATTTTATATTCTTTAACAAAATTAAAAAAAAAACTAGGTTTGGTATTTGTAGTATTTCTAGTGGTAAATAATTTACTATTATCGATTCAGGACTACAAAATTTTGCATTTGGCGTTATAAAGTGACCATTGTCCGTTCCGGTTTAATTTTCGTTTCTTGACTCGTGACTTCTTCTTGGTTTATTCCTCTTATAATTTTATATTTTGGAAATTTAATAAAAATACATTTAAAAAAAACTGTTAGTACATATATAAATATTGATAGGATATAATATTATAATTATAAAATACCCGCGGTACTACTAGTAGTGTACGAGTATACTGGTAGTGCCTATTACGGTAAATTAGAAAAGTTTATATATATTTATTTAGCTACAAGTAGCTAAAAAAAAGATTTTTATCAAAGCGGAAACAGACTGTGGTAAATTATTTACCACTCTTTTGAGATTTCTAAATCATATAAATAAATCGCTTGCGGATTTATTTATATGATTTAGAAATATATAATATACTATAAATATCATAGCTTAGGGATTTTCATCGAAAAAACATTTTCTAGAATTTTTGTTGAAGAAATTTGCAAAAATATCCCAATGACACGCGAAAATCTTAAATAGTTTTCACACTAAAACCGTTCGGTCAATTTTGACAGTGACAGATGAAGTTGATAAGTTTTAAGATGACTAGGGAGGACTAGATAGAAAAACTATTTGAAAATCTAAATTCGTAAGACTGATAACTGTATTGTTACCATAACAAATTGTAGATGGTTTTTCAAAAAAAAAACTCAGTGGTTTTTTTTTTTATTGAATGCCTTTGTCACTGTGATCACATCGCCCTGTGACAGTACGAATACATCAATCAAATACATACAACGTCCATGCTACAACCGACACAGGGTTGGCCAAAACACTATTACAAAGACCAATATTCATACCTCTCTAGACCCCTAAATGTTCCCTATTAGTTCTGTTCCTTACTTCAAAAAGAACGTGTAATACTTCATCGATCACACCGCGGTCCTCACAGTTGAGGGATGAGACTTTAGCCTTTAAAAATGTAAATTCCTTAGAAAAAGGTAATATTTGTTTGAATAAGAACAAGACTTAAATAAGGGTTAAATTCCTATTGTATTTAATTACAATTTGAAGTTCATCATCATCATCATCATCCTGTCGCCGTCCACTGTCGAACGAAGGCCTCCCCCAAGGAACACCTACTATCCCGGTCTTGGGCAGTCCACGAAAGTTTGAGTCTCAAAAATACTTTCTATGGCGAAAAAACTTTACCTAAAAAAACCTATGGCGTTTATTAACACGTACCGTTTTATATAACTATTTATAGACAGGAATTTCATTAACAACATTGCACAACGACGAAACGCAATCCAAAATAAATCACTCCTGACGAGTCTTTCATTAAAATATTTTAATAGGTACTTACGTTTGTTACGAAAATCGCTGACATGGATTCTTTCAGCTACCTCATTCAGCGAGGGTGCAGAGGAATGGGGAATTTAACCCTTTTCATATGAATATTTATTGTCTATCTTTTGGATCAGATACGTTAAATGCAAGTTATGGCTTTCGGGTTAAACGAGTTTTTTTTTCTATGGTTCAATATACATTCAGGACATTGTGTGTATTATAAGAAAAATCACGTTGTTTTAATATAATGCATACTCTTTTAGAGGAATGGTCTACATTAATAAAAAAAAGTTTAATTCAGATATTTAAATAAAATTTCAGAGGTTACATTCCTTTTTTTAAATTTGCTAATAAGGATGCAAAGATCTCTTAATTTTGTGCAATAATAGAACAATTTCCTTTTGGAGTATCATCTGTGCAACACATAAAATAATAGCGCGACGACCGCACCCGTAATTTTTTTACTAGATATTATTCTCAGAAAAACGAACTTATCCCAAAATATATACATATAAGAAAATTGTAGCAAGTCGATATATGTTCATTAATGATATTGAAGAAAAACTAATAAAGGGGGTCTTGAATAAAACAATAGAACTGAAAACAAGTTTTTAGAATTTTTGTCTGTTTACCTGTTGCGTTGGTGAGCGATAATCTCAGAAATGGTTTAACCGATTTGGTGAACTGCACTTAAAATTTAGTGTTTGCTTTATTTCAATCGGTTCACAAACATAAAAGTTATGTCAATTTAAAGAATCACATCAAAAAGTGACTTGTCTTGCGGTTTGGTCGGTTTTGGTCTGGCGGTTTGGTTATATCAAGTTATATAGAATAAGAATAAAATTAGTAAATAGAACTCAACGTATTGTAGTCAAGCGTATTTCATTCAGGCCTTATCCTCGTTCACTACGAGCTAAACGGGCCACGTGCCTTAAAAGTTGTCGTGGCAACGCATTATTATTTTTAGATGTAACAAACGTGAGTTTAAAAAACATTTTTACAGGCAAGCTTTTCGGTTCGGATCGGTTGACGATATTCGCTTTAAAATGCAGTTTTAAGGTTTAACCCAATAAACATACATACAACAACAAACATTGCAAATTAAGTAAAAGCTTTTAGAACCTATATTCAATTTGACAATGTTTTTTGCCCAAACCCTATCAATTTTCACACAATGAATTAAGGAGATTTTACGATCAGGGAATAAAAGTCTTATTGAATAAAATATATATTTATTATCGTATTGAATTTTGCAACAACATTCAACAAAAATAGCAACTTTTTGAACTTTTAAAAAGTTTTGTCTTAGCCTTATAAAAACCAATGTATTTGGTACATTTAAAAAAAACAACCAACAGTTGCATTGATAAAGTGCGATAAAACAAGTTATATTTACTTAATAAACAATTTACTACTACTATATATACTGAAGCACTTTCAGTGGAAAACCCATTTTCTTTAAGAAAAAAAATCTATTTATGGCCTTCCAAGGCCTATGGATCAAAAACTGTAAAAAACATCTATTAAATTCGTTTTGTGTGTGTGTAACAGATGTTAAGTTTCTTTACGCATTAGTTTTGCCTTAGCCATGGAGGCACAAGTCTGATTACATTCAAAAAGCTATTAATTAAGAATCCCTTGTATATGTTTTAAGTACACTTAAATATTTATTTGTACAGTTTGCACACTTTTTTATTGAACAAGAAACCGATTAATACAATTTCGAAAATATATAAAATGAAACAGAAAGAAAAATAAAAGAAGGAAAAAGATAGCTGTTCAATGTCAGACACAGTCAGATAACAATTTTCATTTCAATCATGTTAGATTTTTTTATCCGAGGTATCAAATTCTTAGCATAATAATTGAAATTAGTAAATTTATTATAAACTACTCATCAAAAGGCAATAAAAAATTGTTTGAAACTGACAGCTGCAGTAATTATTACAGAATAAATAAACAAAAAGTACTTAGTCCCGTAACGATATATTACAATTTTCATAAAATTCAAATGATAGAACAGTGCGTTCCATTTTCAAATAGCTATTTTTGTATGGTCTAGTTTGCTTTATCTTCCCCTGGCGCCCCAACAAGGAACCAACGAGTTCGCGCGCGAACCGCCGCGTTGCGAACTAATCTCTTCTTGTCATCCAAAGATGGCGCTAAATCAAGCAAAACGTCTTGTTTGAATGGTAAAAGTAGCGAAGTCCGGAATGTATTTGCTATATCGTACAGGCATTCCAAGCTTTTTATTCTGACATCCTGTAATGAAGAAGACATTTTGTTTGGAAACAGTCTATTAATTATTCAATTCATGTTTGAGATGTAAAAAGATGCATGACATAAGTATTTTTTGAAATACAGATATGTAGTAGTATACTACTTAACTTTAAGTAACACCATTAGTCGCATATTAAAGATAAGCCTACAGAGTTAATTTGTCTATAAAAAACACATTAAAAGCTTTGATAATAATAAAGAAAACTTTAAGGGAAGGAGCTAAGGTAAGGATACCAGTCGGTTTGTATGTTCGTCTTTTGATTGAAGACACCAACAGGTCTACTTATAAATGCATGTTTATAAATTTATATGTACATGTATATAAATTTATATTAAACTTTTTTCAGAATAAAGATTTTTTTTATGTTTACGTTGGTACTTACCATAGACTTAGTATATTTAGTCAAGTTGATCAGCCTTGGAAGAACAGTTTGCAGACTGCAGGATATTAGCGGCTGGGACTTTATTAGATGAGACAGTGTGTTGAGAGAGACAATCAGCAATTCCTCGTTTTGATACTCTAAGGAGTCTACCACTATTGATGTTATCTGAAAATACAGATATTTTTTGTTAGAAGCTTCAAGAACATTTGTCCAAACGTTCAAAGATTTTTCCTCTTTCCTCCGACTTAACTCAACAACCGAACCGATTTCGAAGTTATGTAGAAAGACTGTTGTCGGACTTTTTAGGGGTCCAACTACCCGTAACGATTGCCAGGCTGAACGTGCTCTTCAAGGCACGGAGGGGTCTCAATGTGTTAAGAAACGGTCACCCATCTATAGACAGACCTGGCTAGGATTGCTTAACTTTGCATGTGTTAACCTACTCAGTTACCACTTAGCCTCGAGCCCCCCGAACGTTCAGTCTATCAGTTATTTTTCCAACCATTGTGTCACTAAATTGTTAATAAAGAAGGAGCGACGCAAGGGGCGGAAGGAAGGGGGGAAGGTAGGGGGGAAGGAAGGGGGACAGCAAGGGGGGCAGGAAGGCGGACAGCAAGGGGGGAAGGTAGGGTGGAAGAAAGGTCGGAAAGGAAGGGTGGCTTTGGGCTCCGGTAACCTCACTGACTCGGTGAAAAGAAACAAAAGAATGCTTAACGCCGGTTTTCTGTGATTCCAAAATGTTGTTGCCTACACACGATGTATTATTATCGATAAATATATTTACCTTAACACCTTCACTACTAAGTACAGTTTTAGGCGTCTTGTCCAGTACATACGCCCAACTCAGTAGATAATCTTCTTTGACATCCGGTGAGAGAGCCCCAAATTTATCAACTAAAAGAGAAAATGATAGGAACATCCTCTGTCTATACAACAGACTTATACGACAGTGTAACTTAGGACTCAAGTAGTCTGAGAACTCGGTCATAATTATTCGTATAGCTTCGGCACTGTATTTACTATAACTGGTGTTTGGCATAATTCCCACTATCTGGAACAAAAATTAACATATAATGGTAATGAATTTTCCAAACTCATTTAATAACTGTGTATATTTTTGTAACATATGTAAAAAACTTTAGTCAGGAAAAAGAAAGTAAAAGAATAGTCAGTGAGTGCGTTGGGCATCGCGATTGGCCCGCTCTGAACTCTTCACCAATCTCAACTACGAACGCGGTCACCGTGACCATCGAGTTGATGTGAAATAAACTCACACTAGGGCCTCTGGTTCGCGTTTGCAGAGACGTGATAGTCATTATTTAAGCTTTTTTTTAACAGTATCCACAGCTTTTTAAATAAAGAAAAAGTTGGATTTAAAGTTTTAAAAAATACCAATTAATCACTTAACTACAACGTAATACAAATTTTTGATTAGTGTGGTGACACTACACTTTTAAAAAAAGCGTTAATACTTGATCATTTTTTGTGACAACTTACTTTTTGTAGCCAAAATAGATACATATCACTGCCTCTCAATATTAAAGCTTTTGTTATCCATCCATACATTTGTATCAATCGTGGACACAAAGACTCATCATGTTTGCTACACTCTGACAGCTGGTTCTTCAACAGTTCATATAAAAGCTCAAACTTCTGTCCGTGTTCCACTTTATTCAACATGTGAGCTATCAACACACATCCCTTTGTCCTAACTAATTCTTTCTGACTATTCAAAGCGACTTTTATAGATAATATCAGAACCTCCTCGAACTTTGAAGTATAAACGTTCTGATGCAAGGGAGAATATAAACTTTCTAGTACTAAGAAATATACATCATTGACTTGACAATTATCTAAAACTTTCTGCGTGTGCTGTGATAAAATATTCTGTTGTTTCTCCGCCGGTAAGCTGCTAATTGTGTTGGATACTAACGTATACCCATGGGCCAATGTGTCTTGGTTACCGCTCGGAATTTCTTTGTACAACCACGCCAAAACAGGTTCTATAAGACCATGGTCACTTTCTATTTGCATCACTTTTTCGCTTGTGTAAAAACTAGCTATGGATAACGAGTCGCTCAACGCTTCCACAACAAGATTCGTCCCTTTTTCAAATGTCGATATCAATCTCAATATATCTTCAATAATTACTTTCGTAAAGTCATCTATACTCGCTAAGTTCGTGAGTAAGTGTAGTCGTTTCTGTAAAGCTACCTTGTCTTGTGTTAGGTTGCTGATCTGACAGTTCCCTCTGACTACCAAATTCATTATTAACTCTGGATACTTCTTCGCTATTGCATGGATTGTTTCCACACTGATACTAAGAACATCAGTGTCTTGCGAATGCTGGGCATTATGTGTTAAAATCTCAACAAACGGTAATATTAAATCAGATCTCAGAATATCTTTTACTCTGATTAAAGTCTTGAAGCCAGCAATTTGGAAGTCCTTTGCGGGGTTGCTAACAGTCGTAAGGCACAACTTCGGGATTTCATTTACTTGAGCTTTAACCAATTCCAACACATCCCAATGTTTAACTATATCATATAAGTCTCCCAAAAAGTCTAAGCTGGCAATTTGTAGTTTTGGTGATGTTTTGAACTCATAGTATGAAATTGTGGCCGGTACCATACATCTTGTTATAACAACACAGGATTCTTTCGAAGCATTTGCAGTGGTGAGAAGCACTTTCGTGGGTTGAACAAATTGTGCTACAGTTTTTGCTTCGGCAATTGCTGTCTGGTTTGCGATAAGTATGCTCTTAACCAAATTCTCGAAGGACTGGTCGGTATTAGCGATAAGTGCCAACTTTGCAACCAATGCTGACAGAGCCTCGTGACTAGCCATTTTAATTTCGTCATCTGTTTTGTGGTTTATATCCCTGTTAATGGAGGACCACAATGCTTTTGAGAATGGACAATATGTTTCACTTTTAAAAGTTTTACAGCTTTCGACCTAAAAAACGAAAGAAGATTGATTCAGAACTTGCTTTCAGTTACAAACTGCTTTATACATTACACTTAGTGGGTAATGACAGAATTATACTTGAAACGAAACAAGTCAGCACAACCAACAAAACTTTTAAAATTGTAAAACTATATTTTGTACTATGTAATAGAGCTTCTTTTGCTCAAACAAGCCTAATTTTAGCCTTTCGGGAACTTTACCGTAGAGCGAATGCAAAAAAAAACAAATGGAAGCATAAGTTCGAAACCGGGATAGGTTAGTAACAGTAATTAAAAGGTGTGTCTATTTCCTGCTGACAGTCAGCAATATTTTTAGGGGAAGAAAAGGCTATTAATAAAAATTGAAAAAAGAAAGAAAACAAATAGCGTCAACAATCTACAGGTAATTTTTCTTGGAAAAAGAACTCAAAGTCTAGTAACAATCACAAAGAAAAACACTAACCAAGAGCGCCAACGAATCAAGTTTTGCCAACCTTAGACTTGAATCCAACTTTTCCATCAACATAATAAGGCACTGTTCACCGAACTCTGGTATGGCACACAAACACGGACATAAGGCCTTGGCTAAATCATCCCTTGTTACTGCTGCGGGATCATCAGGAGAAGGATGGAAGTCTATAGGATAGTAACAGGATATTACATCAAACATTTCCTCTGTCAAATGCCCTATAGGTATTGTTTTTATGAATTTTGGAAGGAAATTGAATAGGAAAATCAGATTTCTAGGATCCCTTTCACCATCCATTATTGATACCATGCCACATACAAGATCTGGGCCAAGCTGCTTGCAATCTGAAATTAATAAAAGATTATACTTGATAATCCATAGGAATAATAATTTCTATTATAAATATTTAAAAGCATACAAGCTCAACAGTAATAAAGTTTATTGGAATACAAAAATATCTGCCTCGTTGGTGCAGTGGTAGCGTATGCGACTGCTAAGCTGAGGTCTCGGGTCAGATTCCCCCGGGTTGGACCAAATGTTTGTATGATCTGCAAATATTTGTTTCGGAGTTTTTGATGTCTATCCTTCCTATTTAGGAATCAAATAAACGTTAAACGTTAAAAATAAACATTAAAAAAGCACACCCTTAATGAGTTAAGGGGATGTGCCTTTTTTAACGTTTATTTCATAAACCGATCAAATTAATAATGCCACTTCATAGTCTAAAATCCTTTATAGGCTGTTTACAAGCATGGCGAGCCTCGACAAGAGTCAAGTCGGTCGACACTAGTACCGGTCGATAAGTGTCGATCGGTACTAAAGTCGGTTTTCGAACTGATAAAAGAAAGTTAGCGGCAAGCGTTTGCGACGTATTAACATGTTGGGGCGTGCTTGTTTCCTACTGCTTAATTTGATATTACAAGAATTGTAATTGAGCAGTCTTGCATCAAAGTCTCAATACTTTGATGCCAGACTCCAGCTCTACTGATTGAGCAGTTTAGTTGAGCAGTAAGGTAGGTGTAGGGTAGCTGTAGTTTTTTTTTTTTTTTTGTAGGCCATCTTTATATTTTGAATAAAGGTATGTCCACGTCTGCTGTTTGCCTGTTCGTAATACAATAGCACACTCGCAAGCATGTAAATGGTATCCAAGCGTTTATAACACTTGGAGCTTGTGGACGTTTGCCAAGCGTCAGCGCACATGTAAACTAGGCATCATATTCATATTTAGCAAAAAAAACTTATTTACTTGTGATGAAAAAATATTTTTAACCATTATACTAAAAAGGTGTATTTAAGAAACATTCTTAATCCAGAATAGTTTTGTTGGTTTAGCAACAATATTTTCGGTTTGGCCCCTACCATGGCATTAAATCACACAGCCAGAGCCATATTTATTATATGATTTATTTTATTGCTCACTGAGTGAATTCACAATAACAGCATTAAGAATTATTTCTTATAATAAATAAGTAGGTGGTATAACACTATTGCATTGGGCTAAGCCTGTAAAAATAGTTGTTTTTAAAGAAAATAAATAAATAAATAAATAAATAAATAAATATTTATAAATATAATTTTGTAAGTTAATCAAATTGTATAGTCACTATAATAATACAAAGTTGTATTACACTTCAGGCGTTTCTAGATATGATTACTCTACCCATATAACTATATTGTAAATCTGAATAGAACATCATTTCAAGTATTATCAGTATAGTATCATGGATTTCCTTTCTAGGGTACACCCAATTCCCCGGCTATTGGTACTTGAGCATGCCAGTTTTAGTCACACAGTGACATAATCACCGGTGATATCCGACAGGACTTCCATTCAGAAAAATTGGTATTGTCAGTATAATAGTATCTTTCTGTTCAATTCAATTTTTTTGTGAATCTACTACTATATTGTGAGGATCATGATTCAAATGATCATTTTTTACACCTAAATTATAATTTAGATACAATTCTTTCTATCTTTCTATAAAAGACAACTCCCGCACTAGGAATAAATCCTGTGTCACGGGGGACTTTACAAACATACATGAAACGGACACAAAGAACACCCAGACTCAGAACAACAATTTGTGGATGACACAAAGTTGTCCCATGTGGGGTTTGAACAACAACACTCGGCGCAATAGAAAGCGGCGTGGCAACAGCTTAAAACATTAAGCCATTCGTGCAATATGTTTAAATATTACAATTAGTTACATAATATCATATATAATAATTTAAAATTAATAAAATATAATGGAATATAATATTATCGAGCTGTAATCTGGTTGCCATTGTACAAGCTCTGCCTAGTGTGGGGTTAGTCAGTCAGTCAGTCAGTCACACAGTCATGTGTAAGGTGTCTCTTACTAATATCTATATATCTTTATCTGCAGCAGTATATCTGCCATCTTGCATTTTCTATAATGAATGTTTTAGACAGTAAAAAGTATTTTACTCTTAATGGGGTTCCAATGCCTCTGAATTCATAAAAATAATAACTCACAGTCAATATCCTTCTCCATGAGCTTCTGAATAACTAAATATATATTATATCTGTCTTGACGCAATTGTGATTGACAGGACACTTCTCTGAACAAAGTAGCCAAGAAGTTAGCGCTATTATTTGCTTTGTAGTTATTCATATCAATTAATGCTAAATATCCTTCTATAACTGATGGTATTATGCTGTGATGATCATTCAAACGGCCTATATAAAATGTTGATATGAATTGGATTTGTGTTTCTGACAAAATGCTTTTCGGTAATTCTCTTAAAATTTTTGTATAGAATTTCATTCCTCTGCAACGTTTTTCTGTTTCTTTGTGAGTTAATACGGCACCCATGTTTTCTATTATATGTGAGAGATCTATATGCTCAGCGACAATATCTGTAACATTAAAGTTTTTATTGTAAAATAATATAGATATTATATGTATCTACATGCAAAATACAGATATAACAAAAGGTATAAAATGATTCTCTCATCTCAATTGACTATGAATTAATTATCCATTTTAAACAAATACATATTAATGAGTTCAATGTATATGAACTATTGATAAAATTAAAAAACATGACCGATAAGACGTAAAGTGAACAAATACAGAAGAATAGTATTTTAAGACCTAAAGTCAACATTGGTTTCTTTAGAAATATTTGGTAAATACATTAAGGATCCAAAAGCGTTTAAGTATATAAATAATTAAGCGATGAGTGTAGGTTTCGGCACACACCTAGTAAGTAGTTTCCTTTCTATAATTAAGTAAATTATACGTAACTTAAGTGAAACCTAAATGAAGGTAAAACGTAATAACTTCTTACCGGTAACGATACTCGTTGTGCTTTCGAATATTTCATCATTTTGCATTATAGCATCCGATAACTCAGGTTTAAACCACACTGATTCCATTTTGTATAGATTAATTTGTTTTGAATAACTAGTCAATTTTGCAATTAAGGGCAAATTATTTAATACAAAATATCAAAACATTTCTGTACGACGAATTTACTCCATGAAGAGAATCGCAACAAAGGAAATTACGTATACGTATCCTCGATATATGAGCTGAAATTGAAGTTTCTTTAATTGTTTAAAAGGTTTTCCTATATACACATTATATAGGAAGTAATACTATAAAACTAACTTTTTTTAGGACATGCTTTCCACAAAAAATTGGGTGCAATTTTGCAAACGTCAACAGTGTCAAACTTTGTCTTTGTCAAAGTTATTTGACTTTGACATCTGACGGTAATTTATCAACTTCAACTTTTATTGAATGACTTTGTCAATGGACTTTGTAGTACGATAACAATTTCGCCAATGTTAATTATTAAGTATCCGGATAATTATAATCTATGATTATTTACCCAAAGATGAAGCAAACTTTGCAAAACTACTTAGTCCTACTTATAAAAATAAATCATAAAACATTTTTACAAATCTGAATGTATGTACGAGTATTTGGCGTCTTAGTACCATTAAGAAAATGGTTGCGGTGCAAGTAGCACCTTTTTTCTCTTCTTACCGGGGTTTTTCGGAGTGGCGGTGTGCGTTAAGATATCTGGAACCCTCCTAGCACCTGTTTGGCTTTAGCGTGGGCACCACCTTCGTGTGAATTCTCCTTTCCTATTTCATTACTTGTCTCCTCGCGCCTGGCCATCATAGCGGATGAAGAAGAAAATCCATCCCGTCCACCTACAGCCACTCAGGGTGGTGTGAGGTGTCCTCCAATGACTGCATTGGGGACCTGACGCTTCGCCAGCGTGTGTTGAGCCTAGTCCTCACTGCAATCGCAGTGATGACAGGCAGGACTCAATTCCCCCCTAGCGACCGAGTGCACGTACTTCCCAAAGCAGCCGTGCCGTTCCCAAAGGGTTCGTGTATAGCTCTAACCGTCAGTATACTCTGAGGGCACCAAAAGCGCCCCATTTTGGGCGATCAGAGCCACCCATACCGGTGCACTGAACAGTGCCAATAACTATACAACCTACGTGTACAGCCATCTTGTTGCAACATTTGTTCTCCTAAATTGAGTGAAAGTCGTCCAAGGACTGACACAGCGCCGACCAGCTTGGGAGCAAGCCTTCGTAAGTGCTCGTCGAAGAGCTACCTCTCGTCAAGGATTAGGCCCAGATACTTCATCATCAGCCTGTCGCAGTCCACTGCTGGACATAGGCCTCTCCCATTGCACGCCACTTAGATCGATTTTGGGCTTCTCGCATCCAGATTTGCGCAAGATGGCTGGTAGGAGACCAGCCATCTTGCGCAAATCGTCACTCCACCTGGCCTGTGGGCGTCCTACACTACGTTTGCCGAGACGCGGTCTCCACTCAAGAACTCGTTTTCCCCAACGGTTATCGGTTACTTATCTGTATCTAAATCGTTATGAGGACTAAATTGACAACGATTGAGGCGCCGGGGATGGACTACGACGGGCTCATGGTTCAAGAGGGCCTCCGTTTTATCCAGGGCCACTCGTAAGCCCAGCGCCTCCTTACCAGTGTTTCTTTCTTTTTTCTCGTGTTTATTTTTTTGTATTGCCATTCTATTTTTTCCATCCATTACCCACATCAACACAATGTTAGATTTTGTTTTATTATTCAATATTATGTGCTTTGTCGGCCTTTGGGGTGGGACTACAGAAGTACTCTATTTTCATGCTTGACTGTTTGGAGGTTACATTGGTCCGGAAATCCCGCAGACAGCAATTTGTTTAACTATTAAAACTTTTGTCTAGCACAAACAATCTGTTAAAGTTTAACAGATTGGTTGTGCTAGACAAAAGTTTCTAGAAAAGCGCTCAGAATCCGACATACCATCTTACCGGTTTGGCCCCGATGCGATGACGACCTACGGTACGGATCATGGTAGAAAAAAAGAATGTCAAAAAAAAATTGTGACAGAAGAAAACATTTAAAAACTTAAAACGTCACTACGATAAGTGTGCTGGTTTTGTTTGGGTTTTATTTTTTATTAACGCATGTGACATACAAGAACCGTGTTGGTGTAAAGTGATGCAATAGCAGTAATTTTTGAAAAATTCAACACTTGTTTGGTGGAGATCGTTTCGATTAAACCATAATGTCTCACAAAACATTAATAGATTTTGTGGTAAAGTACCACAAACCACGTTTACTAAATAACGTCGTATTCTTTCCAAGTAACGGAAACTTGTATTTTGGAAGAAGACTAGTGGTTCCAGTGTTAAGCTCAACTCCTAAAGTGCAGTCTCCAAGGACTTTCAGCACAACGGTGGCAAAGTTCAATGAAATTCAGATGAAAATTGAACAACAGCAAACAGAAGGGAGGTTTCAGTTAATGTTTACATGTAAGAAGTGTGATACGAGAAATAACAAGTTGATTACAAAACAGGCTTACTACAAAGGTGTTGTGATAGTAATATGTGATGGCTGCAACAACAAACATTTAATAGCTGACAACTTGAATTGGTTCACAGATATGAATGGAAAGAAAAACATTGAAGATATAATGGCTGAAAAGGGAGAAACTGTGCAAAAAATTATGTCATCTGATCTTGAGTTTATAGCAAAGGAAATAGCAAATGGTATTGAAAATGATAACACAACAGTGCTATTGACTGATAAATATAAATAAACTGTTAAAATAGAAATAAAATGATTTCGGTAGATATTACTATAATAATCCTTTGTTTTTCCCTTACACAGAATAGTTACAGTTATTCCATCTTAAACTAGGTGTTATGTGTTTGGATACGTGAAGTTGTGTGAGCCACCACCAAATCAACAGTAGTGTCAATGTGTTGCACAGCAAGAATGTGTAGAAATGTGATATAACTAACTTTAATTATAGAAATATTGCATCATTACTATATCTTATTAATCTTGCATGGTTCCTGTGTCCCTTCCATTACCATTCCCTTGATATAGGGTTGTTTTCCGTCCTTTCTCTTCAAGGGGGGGGAGGATATTCATAAGGAGCTTCCTCCCTCTTAAGAAAAAAAAAGTGGTAACATAGCCCCCATTGTAGCATCAACAAAAAAGTATATTTTCCTAATAAATAGATAAATTAAGTATATTATACAATAAAATGGAAACGAATATAAACTGGTATTTCTAAATCGATATAACCATCAAGCCTTTATGAAAGAAGTGTGCTCCCCTTCAAAAACCAGCAACATCATTGCGCCTCTTTAAGTTGCAGGTGCCTATGGATGGAGGTAGTCACTCACCATCAGGTGACCTACTCTCATTTGAACTCAATGTCATAAAAAAAAATTTTACAAAGTTAAGAACCAGAATTCTACAACAAAATAATATTCTAAAGTCACCCTTAGAACAGATCTGCTTAGCAATTATTTAATTAGAGTGCTGGCATCCCTTTCTCCCTTTATAAGATGGAGTGACAAGGTAGTTAGTGCGACAAACAGCTGTTGCGTTAAGACTACTCTTGATATAGTTTTTTCTTGTAGTAAAGGAAGGTAAACAAACAGATGGGTGGGATTTATAATTCGATTTTTGCCTACGTAGGTTAGGGTTGCTAGGTAGACGCTTAGACGCTATTTAACAGTGAATCTAGTATTTTTTATTATTATGTAGGGAATGGTAGCTATATATAATAAAATAATTACTAGATTTACTGTTAAATAGGGTCTTTATGCATCGTCTGAAAACAGAAGGCTAATTCTCGTAATAAAATTCGGTCTTAATTCAACTCCGATCAACTTTCGATCTCACAACTGTCATAAAAGGTATTTTCGTAGTAAAGTATTAAAAGTCCAACGTTGACTGTAATGCGATTATATCGTTAATCTGCTAGTCTTATACTAGTAGTACTGCTAGTAATACTTTACAATTTTAATACGAAAATACCTTCAGTTGTGAGATCAAAAGTTGATCGGAACTGAATTGTTACCGAATTTTTATTACGAGAATTGGCCTTCAGATCATTGGCAACAACGCGTGAGTAAGTAATAACCCTTACCTACGTACGAAAAATCTAATGATGATAAATCGCCGTTCACTGTGATTTTGTCCCATATGTCTATATGGGTCACCTGAAGGTAAGTAACCGCCGCTACCCATGGATATATTCGTACTTTTAATCTTTCCCCAGAATGAGGAATAGAAGGCTCCGGTAACCTCACTCGTATAGCAACGAACAAACGAAAGAAATACTTAACACCAGTTTTCTGTAAGGCCGTAGTATATATTCTCTTCTCTTTTCCTTCTTTTTCTTTTTTGAAGACAACGCCCGCGTTAGGAATATATATTATGTGTGTCGCGGGGGACTTTACAAACATACATGAAACGGACACAAAGAACACTCAGACTCAACAATTTGTGGATCACACAAAGTGATGTCCCATGGTGGGATCCAACCCACAACACTTAGCGCAGTAAGAAGCGGCGAGGTGACCGCTCAAACTACTACGCTATCCGTGCCGTCAATGCAGTCAGTGGATACTCCGACGGATACAGCCCATTTTTGCCTAAGTTTGGCTCTTCCGCGTAGTCCGGATGTCTTAATAACAGCAGTTCCCGGATCCCTCCTATTACAGGCGCAGAGTGGCACACCGTGTGGTTTTAGTCGGTCCGATTCCGACACACCACCCCGCCGCAAACCCCGGTAGGGTGACAGCCCGAGGGGGTTTCCACACGTAGAAAAAAAAATGGCTCTTCCATGTACAAATGGTATGATAAATGACGATGGAGATGATGATCTAAGTACCTATCCATTCTGTATCTTCATTTACAGGCATAATACCTACAACGGTGACACAAATAAAATTATGGAATGTTGTTAAGGTAGCTAATTGTTTTACCTTGTTTTCTGTTATAATAATATTATTAGACCATGCACAGCTGGATAGGAAATTAATATAATTTTCCTCATCCTCAACAAAACTACCACAGTCAGTTTAATTTGCTAACTGTTATGAGTCTGGTTCACCTCATCGTGGCTAGTAGGTAGGTACACTGCGTAAAAGTCAAGGGTTCTTTTATCTTGAAATAGAATGGCTTTTATTAACTTTCTTTTAAACCGTCAATTTTACTTGAAGTTGAAATTATAAAACAATTTATCAACTACACAAAAACAGGAAAAAAGCATAAAATAAAATATATACTTAACTTCTAAAAAAGTTGTATTATACAAAATTGCGACGATTTTTATAAAAAATCTTAAAAGTCCAATATCTTGAAAATGGTTATTATTAGGATATGGTATTTCTTAGTGAAATCTATCAGAAATGATGGCACAACCCCTTAAAGTATTTAGGTCGACTTACGCAGTAACCCTGTATAAATATGAATAAAATTCAAGAAAGTTTCTATGTTATATGTTGTATTTTTATGTTAGGACCGATTTATTTATTAAATAAATTGGTACCTATTTTATGTTAGGACCAATTTATTTAATAAATAAATCGGTCCTAACATAAAAGAGGTACCTACCTACTTACCACTTGTACTATAGTTTGCAATGATGCTGAGTTGTACAGTTATTTTACTCTATGTTAATGCTAAGATGTGAGCTGATGATCTTCACAAATTATAGTTAAGAAATGGTTCTTATCATGTCGATCATGTCAGCTTTACAACAAAAATGAGCTGTCGTAAGACGTCTGGCATAAGTGAAACATAGAAATTATCTTGTAGAAATAATGAAAAGGATAGCTTATGAAGGGGATAATAATAAATGCGTTTAGGAGCTACGATGCCACAAACATGTCATTTTTGCGTCAGGGGTTAAAAATATGGATACTTAACACAGGTCTTAGCCTATTTCCTAGGGCTGTGGCCAGCCAACATAAATAACTCAACAAAAATTATTACCTGTTTAGTGATGTAACAATTGCATCAGATAAAATTGAAATAAAATGTTTACAAAATCAAAAACCAAAACATTACGTCCTAAAGGGTTATTGAAATTGTCATTACGTAAATAACCATTGTTCTATTGCTTTCTTATTAGTTTATTCCAGTACTTAGTATATGTAAATAATAGAGCTTGAATGAATTATCACCTCGTGATGTACCTTGATTAATTAATTATATTATGTAGCTATGAGCGGAATCAGCAATGAGTATTTTCCAAGGAAATGTTACTGCTTAACGCTAAACTGATATCGAGGTGGGCATATCTTTAATAAGCAGTCGTTATAGAGAAGAAACGGGTTTGTAGTCTCTAAATTCATTTTATTTGCTGTCTCTAAATTTATTTGGTTCGTGGTCTCTAAATGCATTTGGTCTGCGGCTTCTCAATTCATTTGGTTTGCGGTCTCTGAATTCACGTAGTACATACAAACGTAATCTTGACTAGGAATTCACTCGCGCTTTTTATCAATCGTCAAACGCGGTTGCCGTCGACGATCGAGTTGATGATGTAAAATATGTTCGCACATGACGCCCAGTCATCAATGTTGGCTTTAGGAAATGCAAGTAAGAAAAAAAATGTGAATCAGTAGGGCATTGATCATGACTTTTTAAAAGAGAAATTATGAGTAATAGCCGGACTTATCTTGCACGCGTTTTGTCTAAAGCATGCAAGTTTTGGTCTGTTTAAAATAGTAGGAACTTACAGAACTCGATTCCAGAACCTACTGAAATCCAGTATTTCTGCGCCGCAATAATAAACGGCTTCCGACAAAAGGTAGTAGTCGTACCCTTGTCGATAAGATATGACAGTAACGAAATAAAAGTATTTTATAAAAGATTATATGATTTATTTTCATTCGTAATAAAATAGATTACAAGTAAAAAATATGGCCAATCTATTCATATTCACTGAAAGAGTACTATGGTAAACCTTAGATACATTAATATCCTATTCTGTTACAAAAATATTTATTTCATTTTTTCAACACATATATTGAAACAAACCCAATATTTTTTAATACTCTTCTTCGTATACTTACAATTATTTTCTTGATATAAGAAGCAAGAATAAAATTATTTTTAAATTGGCACCAGTTGGTAATCATTCCTGAATAATATTCTACAAGAAATAAGGCACGATACAATCACAATATGTAATACAGTTTCATAATCTCTTATAAATATACCCTTACTTACTAATTGTGCGTTAATTACATATACAAAATTTATGTACAATAATGTTTCACATTTTAGTTAACGAATGTTACATGGAATGCACAAATTTTTATTTGGAAGGTCTTTCATGACAATGTTTATAAATTCTAGTATAGGTTTTAAATGTTTAAGTATTAAGTTGTAGATCAGACTGTCATTATAAATTCATAGCATTAAGATTCTGTTCCATAGCTATCCACCTTAAAAACTGAGCCTTAAGGATGTCAATAATAAACAATGTAACAAATGTAGTCTATTTGAGAAAGGGCTCACCTTTAGCACTCTCTGTTGACTTGTTGGTTCAGCACATCCCAAAGACCGCCACAAACGTCCTTCCCCTATATATTAAAAGACAAGTCCTAATAAATTATTTAGTAGTTTCCATAATCATAGATATTCTGCAAACATTACTCTATTGCTTGAGGGTCCTAGAATAATTGAGTTCTTACCTCCGTGGCAAATTACTCGAGATTACTAAATGATGAATGGATTCGATAAAACTGATAGAAAGCTCTTTTTTTTACATTTTATATCATTATGACGGAGTTATATACACTCTCTTTCGTAGACACAATTAGTTACCCAGACAGTTATAGTTTGTCTTCATAAATTGATTTATTCTAATATGTAATTGAGTAAACAATCACTGATAAAATTTCAGTCTTAATAATATTTTACTTCTTCAGTATAATTATAATAAACATCAATATTTTATACTCTTTTTGGACGGCTTACAATAGCATAGTCAGTACCGTTACAGTTATTATGAGTAATTTCTTCCAGACCAACTTGATTTTGCAAAGCTTGTACTTGAGCAGCAGTAGGTACTTGAGGCCCGGGAGTGTTGGGTTTCCGTATCATGCCATAACCAAGATGAGAGTCATCAGCCAGTCTTGCAGTTTGCATTACATTTTCAACTTCGTCATAGTCATTCCAGGTGTCCTTATTCTTAGCCTCACTGAGAGCTAGTGTTGTAGGCCTTGCTTCAATCTTTTTATATCTTGATGACTTATTTAATTTACTTGTTGAACCAAAATACTGTAACCTATCATAATTCTCATCTTCTGGATCCACAACTGGACTTGGCAACAAAATTATTCTTGAAGCCTCTGGTCCAGTAGTGTTCAAATTATCCTGAGATCTTGATATAAGCTTAAGGCAATTTGGATTGTCACCCAAATTTGGAGTGAACTCAGTATGGTCTGGAGTGTCAATACCTAATGTCTTCCATGCCTCACTTCTTATTTCAACTCTATCATATGGCACTGAAGGTGGACTTTGTTCTCTCTTTTGCTCAATAGGCTCATAGTTGTCAAGTTTTTTGTATCTTCCATAGTCTATACTTTCATCAGCAGGACTTGGAATGTCTTTGTTTTTAACGAGATTTAGAATTTTACGTGGAGGTTTTAAAGGTTTCGGTTTCAATGCTGGTTTTGGCATAAGCAAAGGTACTGTGTCTCTTTCCGAGCAAATGCTTGGCTGGCTAGACATAGATGTACTTTTAAATGAAAGAGAACTTAAATTCAGATCATCAGGTCTTGCTGCTACTAAGGGTGTCCTAGATCCAGGGAATAAGTTGGCACTGGGTTGAATATTAAATTCACTGTGTTCAGGACTGTTCAAATTGTCAATACCAATCATTTGCTTCATAGTTTTCATTTTTAAGGACAGGCATTTAAATATTACAGATGGATTTGGGTGTTCTAAGTGAAAAATTCCTTCTCCAGTGTCACATTTTCTACCTGCTTCAAATGTAATTTTACCCTGTCTGTAACCATATCTTCTCACATACCTATATGGCCAAGTAGCATATAATTTATCATTATTTATATCTCTTAATTCTATGGCATTTGATGTGAGCAAAAGGAGATATCGCATTGGTTCAAAGCCACATCTGGTTGAGGCTTCTGACGGACACATTTTTACTGAAAACACACCCTCTCCAGATGTGCAATAAAGATCATTGTCTTCATCACAACCAATAGGACTGGAGTCTCTTCCCCTAAACGCCACAGACTGCAAAGCTGTCACCCACTCTAAAGCTTCTGCTTCTGTCTGTAAGCTGAGCTGTTGGGTGTGTGACTTAGTAAATATTGTTATCATGTTAGGACTAGAATGAGTAATTTTGATACAATTTTCGAGAGTAATAATTTTGGGTATAGCACCAGATGTTACTTCATCTTTGTTGTCATATATTTCCAAACGTTCTATTCCCTGTTTGCTGGCACTGAAGAGTATACAATGCTTTTGCTGCCAATTTTTCTGTAGAAGAAAAAAATTAACATTGAATTTTACATTGAATATAACAAGATTGTTGATTGTTCATTAATTAAAATTTCTTTAAGTTTACATAGGTTTGTAATATAATAATTAATAACAAGAAACACTTTACACACCACCATCTGATCCTAAATTAGGCATAGCCTGTACTATGGTAGCCTGCCTGCTGATAAACATACTTATGATTACCAAATACATGTAATATATAAATTTAAAAATTATTTTCCTTAAGTGGGAAACAAATTTACAACTTTTGGCTTAGTACTTTTAGACTCATAGGCTTGTTTTGCAGACATGTCGATTTCTTAAAAGCAACAATAATTGGATTTACAAAAATAAAAATGATGCACAACTATTGTGAGTGAAAAAAAAACTGTTATCTAAAAAATTGTGTGATTATTAAAAGGGATGTTCTGATTACTATCTGATCCTTTTTATTGAGATTGAAATCATTAGTATCTGTATGCAACTGTTCTTACTCATTTTGAGAACATTACCAACTGAATAACATTTTAATTGTGTTAGGTGAACAAGATATATCCTGTTTGGATTTGAAATATTTGCCTCCAATGAAACTAGATATAATTTAAAATTACACTAATGTAATGCCTAAAATAACCATAAAATAATGTAATACCAAGAGTGAGAATTGTATCCAGTCAGAACACAATGCTATGGACGTAATTTAGAAATCAAGTCATTAATGCATGCACGCATAAGGGCAACACAGAATGTGATGAGTAAGAGTTTCATTTATGGCTCTCTAAATTTTCCTGTATGTGCTGCTTAGTTAAACCTCTCACGTGCTGCTGCGCTGATTAGCGCTCACCGATCAAAGCATTTTACAGTGTAGTGGCTATTTACAGCTTATAAGAAGTTAATTTAATGTGTTAAAAAATGTAGTACACATTATTCAAATGTGTGTGTGTGTCAATTATTAAACGGAAAAAATACAAGTATAAAACAAAAACAATATCTTTATAAAATACCTAAATATAGTAATTAATGAAATCACCTTTTCTTGATAAATGTTGAATAGTCATAAGTTTATTGAGTATGTAGTAGTTCAAATATAATAAAAATGCAAGTCTATAGAGGTATATGTACTAATTGTGTCTGTTTAATGTATGTTTGTAGAGTCCTAGATGTATTCCTAGAGTGGGAGTTGTCTTTTAAAAAAAGAAAAGAAAGAAAGAAAAAAGAAATTGATTTGTACATTAAACAATCACTTGTTTTAAAAGTTTACCTAAATTTTAATTGGCTGTATCAGTAATCATATAATATTAAAAAAAATGTTTGAATAGGTAGCTTTTTTTAACAAAACTTCTAAAATATTGACTTAATAACAATTAACACACTATCATACATATGCTGCTTGTATGTTGTATTAACATATTTGTATTACAATAATAAGCACCAATTTTCTCATGTTATTTTATATTTTTTTATTGAAAACTCTTTTAACAAACCTTGTTTGAATTCGCGAATTTGTATAATTATAAAAAACAATACTTATATGCGAGTTAGTAGTTGACAACTATACTCCCTTGTCCTGGCCAGCCATGTATTGAGTCATGACTTGTTTGATTACATATCACTATCACATAACCGTAAAATATAATCTTACGTGAGTATGTATGAATACCCTACCTGAATATTTAATAGTTATTCGTAATAAAATTGATAAGTACCTTTTTAGGAAATTTACTAAACACATTCCCTCCGGCGGGCGGAAATAATAAACAACCGGATTTAATTTCATCGCCCTGTTCCATTTTCTCGATACGATATTTCTAAAAGTATAACAGCTTTTCTTACTTCAATGACACCACACAACATAGCACAATCAATGATATATATTTGTTTTGACGCTTTAAGATTGCTATAAGATCAATAAAATAATTCGGATGAAAATGTGAACGTACTAGTGACACAAACGAAAAAGTCAGACTACCAGTGTGTCCACATTTTTGTAAAGATTCTACCGCAAGTCGTAGAATTTATAATGAAAGTTGGAGAAAAAATGGACACCACTTAAAAGGACTATGAAATAATGCTGACGATATTATGTTATAAGATAATTGTTAATTAAACAAGCAGTAAAGGAAACATTCACTATAAGAAGTTTTTTCAGCAGTTACACGGCCTCTGAAAATACTGAAATAGGAAATTTAAAACTAGAAGTAAACGGTTTTAATAGTATTAGCAAAAATATAATATTCTACCCTATTCTACCACATTTCCACCACACCATCTAGTCTTAGTAGCTTGTACTAGACAACTAATATACTTTTTTTTGTAAACACATAAAAATACCTATTTCTTAGCGTTCCATGGATTCACCGTGCGGGTGCCAGGTCCATCGCGTGATAGGTGATGGCAACATATGCGACTATGATAGAGCCTGGGAATTGCGAGTATCGTGACTTGCAACCCAGGGATAGGTTTAGGCTTACTAATATTATATACGCGAATCTGAATGAAATTAAACACAGTGACAGATAATAGTCTAGAATAGCACAAAAGCTACTTTTAAACTACTACGAAGAAATGTAGTGTTTTGCTCGATGAGCAAGGGACAACAACAACCGCCTTTAACACCGAGTTTTACATTAAATATTACTAGCTTTTTAATCTAAGAGGAAAGATAATTGTTCAACAAGTATAAACAACCAACTACTTCATAACATCACCACTACTTCATAACCATCACTATTAGTTTTAACAGCTGTCAACTTCAACTTCAACTTTTAGTTAATGGCTTTGTGGTAGAGTGTAACCACAATTTCGCCAATGTCATGTATTTGAAAGACAAACTGTCAAAGGATTTTATGTAGAGCTGTGGTAGAGCCAAAAAAAAAATTTTTGAGAATGAAAGAATAAGAATGAATAAATTGTGATCTTTTACAGGCATGGTAAAACTTAAACTAGTAAAATATATATACAGCTAAGTGAATTTAGAATTATGCTAGTAGAAGGAATCCAGACAGCAGCACTAACTGGGCCATTTGATGAGATTTTGGAAGCGTCTGTAAAAATTATTAAAATTAAGTAAATTGTAATTGGAGGTAATTTTATTAGTGAATAGACTTTTCGCTTCTATTGAGCACTTGTTGATTCCCAAGTCCAGAATGACATTTGGTTGGAATACTAACGCTTCGTATGGCGTACAAAAAAGAGGTAAGGTGGAGTTTTGGAATAAAGGATTGATGAGACGGGTGAGTTGCTGGTAAGCAAGAAGAAGGCAGGGGGTAGTTTTATTAGAACGTGGATCAAGATTATTCAATAAGTTAGATAGCTGATCTAGTTTGGGAAGGAGCGGATGGTCAGTTTAACAGCTGTCAATTAAGTCAAGTCAAATTAAATTCACTGACTTGACACCGAATATATGACGCTGTCACTGTCATTTCATAAAAATACACAAGTTCCATGCAATGCAAGCATAAAGTTCTACTGCACATTTGTGATTTCTGCAAATTCATTGATTATATTCATCAACATTAACATTTTAAAAACTCTACGACATGGCCGCCAACATAAATCCCTTAGCGGGGACTGCACACTTATTAGATGAGCTGGATAGTATGTGTCTATTGAATATTAATAAAATCATAGCATGTTTTCTGATTTTCTTTTTATCCAATAATTCTTGTTTTGTAAGAGAAACTTATGGTGCTGCTGCGGGACGGGAGAACACTTATTGGGTATCTTCGCTGCGTGGATCAGTTTGCCAATTTAGTTTTACATAAAACAATAGAAAGGATTCATGTGGGGAGGGAATATGGAGATATCCCCAGGGGAATATTTATTGTCAGAGGAGAAAATGTGGTACTTCTTGGTGAAATTGTAAGTATAGCCTATTCTTCTAACCTGAATGCCAAAAAAACAGAATTAGTATTTACTCAGTTTCAATCTTTTAGAATTGCTTGATGTTTCTATAAGAAGGCCAACTCTCGTAATAAAAGTTTCCGATCAACTTTCGATCTCACAATTGTTATCATAAGTATTTTTGTAGCAAAATAGTAAAGTTACTAACTAGTAAAGTAACTAAACTACTACTAGTTCGTAAGACTAGCAGATTACCAAATCAATTTTCGGTTACAATACAATGTAATCACAATACAATCAATGTTAGATATTTAATACTTTACTATGAAAATACATTTTAAGACAGTTGTGAGATCAAAAGCTTGAATGATTAATGTAAAGATCCTGATTTGACTTATCAGTCTGCCTTGAGCCAATGCAAGCTTTTGAAAGCGACTGCTATGACTAAGGAATATTTGTTTTTTTCAGGACACAGATAAAGAAGACAACTTACCATTGACGGAAGTATCTGTAGATGAAATTCTTGATGCACAAAGAAGAGAACAAGATGCTAAGATTGAACAACAAAAGTTATTATCAAAAGCTTTGAAAGAAAGAGGACTCAATTTACTGGCTGAAATGGGACATGATGATATGTTTTAATCACCCAATGAGCTACACTTCCTATACTCTAAGACTTATTAGTATTATAAAAACATATATATCATTTCGTTTACTTTTGATTTTATTGAAAAAAGTTCAATCAGTTAAATCGTAACACTGGTCTGGACCACTCTATGACTGTGATTAGATTGAATGATACTGATTCTGTTCGCTAATAGGCACAATTTACGATTTAGTCCTGCTTGGAAGCGACACACTAAGTAGATGTGTTCTGATTTTTTTTTAAAGTTAAATGTTATTATAGCATGTATCAATATATGATGATTGTATTGATAAGATGATTTATATTATAAGACCTTTCTTAGGAACATCCATGTCACACAAAAAAAAACAAATGGTGATTAAGATCTGTTTATAATTCAATCTCAAATTGGATCAGTAATGAAATTTATTGTATGGAAGCCATTTACAGTAACAAGAAGAATCAACCAAAAAAAAACTTAGAAGCTCAGATTTTGATTACCTAAATAATTTAAAATAAAAATAAACTATTTAGCTAACAAGAGACAAAAAAGTTTAATTATTAAAATATTGTAATCAAAGGCGGGCCTGTTGGTCTAGTGGTTAGTAACCCTGACTGCTAAGCCAGAGGTTGTGGGTTTGATTCCCACCAGCAGTCTGGTTACTATAAGGTTGCAAACTGGTTGCTAAGGTTCTGTCTAGTTTGGAATCAGACAGCTGTGTTTGAGAACTGTGAAGTTATTTTTATTAAGCTGCAAAAATAATTGTATAGGTACTGCAAAATAAGTCTACTTATAGACTTATTTTGCATATATACAAGACTTGCAAGAAATAAAAGTACCTACCTAAGGTAAGTAGGTACTTTTATTTCTTGTCTAATCCTTCATCACGCTATATATCAGTTAAATAATTACAAAATTATAATGTTATGTATAAATAATTTAAAAAAAATTACTTTATAAAGCCTATAGTGTACACAATTTGTTGTATTTTTGTTTTTCCATCTTTAATATGTTTGGTACTTTTGAGTAGATATGCTACTACTGAGCTACATTAATTGTCAATTGTTGTTTTTATAAATGCCTACCTACCTCACCTTATCAGGGTGACAGCAAGGTGGTACGTTGAACTCAAACCAAACTGAAACTACACCTGTTTTATGAAAGAGGGGGCAGACGAGCAGACAGGTCATCTGATGGAAAGTGAATACCCTGCCCATGATCGCCTGCAACTCTGGTGTTACAAACGCGTTGCCGGCCTTTTAGGAAGGAGAACGCTCTTTTCTTGAAGGTTTGAGTGTTGTATAGGACCGTAAATACTGCAGACGATAACTTGTACAACAGATTAGTTGTGCGAGGCAAAAAGTATCTTGAATAGCCCACAGTTATCTAAGCGATGGGGATGACAATTTTGCCGTGTGGAACGACGACGGCGGAAATTTGCGGCTGGTACTAGCCCTAGTAATTCTTCGGAGCACTCTCCATACTATATACGATAGAGAATGCAGAGTGAACGAATCTCTATGTAACGATATTGAAGGGATCAAGCCGAACGGAGATCTTTGGGCTGTGCACGATTCGAGTCACTCGACGTTGGACACGGTCCAGAGCGAGAAGCTGGTACTGAGGTGCCCCTGCATAGTTGCCTTCGGACCCCTGAACTTCGCTCGATATGTCGATGGGTAGGATTCCGATACTGTCTGAGGCAATTAGGAGGAATTGCTCTCAAACCGAGGTGATACGATAAATGGTTTCTTCTTTACGGTGAACGGGACTATTTTGCGTTTTTTCGGCGCATTTGCCTGCGCCTCATCTGTGAGACAGGAGGTACGTACTCATCATCCTCTCCAGTTCTAGGTTAACTCAAAGTAGCCTATACAGGATTATAACAAGATTCTCGTCTTTAGTAAGAACTTTTATAATCCTTTGCGCCTCTAAGAAAGCATTGGGACGCAAAATGGTCCCTGTAGCGTAGGTGAAAATTAAAAAGACGACACGCTTCAATTTTTTTTATTCTTATTTAAAATTGTTACAAGCCCTATTATAAAAAATTGTTTCTCCTAGAAATATAAAATAGTTGATCACTTGTTTCTTACTTTAGGTACTTTAACTTGGGTGAAATAAAACTGGCAACGTTCCTGCTTTTGGCGGATCTGCCACCGATGGGTATTAGTGTAGAATGAAATCACACTCACTCGGTGCAATGCAACAGTGCTTAGCGCGCCCGGTTTTCTGTGAGGCCGCACCGATCGAGCCGGCTCATTTTTGCCGAAGCATGGCTCTCCCACCTCTCGCTACCAGACGTTATACGCTCGATGGCTGGTAGCAACAGATGTTTCACTAAGGTCGCTTCCTTCTTCAAGGTAGACATCTCACGGAAAGCGGTGAGGGCCCGGCTGCCGGCGGAGAGGGCGTCGGAAACGCGTCTTCCAGCACTTCATGCCGGCCTGAGTAGTCGCAGGTGGAAGGGGCATGTTTTATCAAATCCCCCACAGAGGGCTACTGCGATAGGGGGACGCAGAATCGCGGGGTGACAAGCAGGGCAACCGTCTGGGGCCTTTGATGCAGGGGTTCGTTCAACAACCCAATTAGAATTTTTTTTTTTCAATATCGTATTATAAAAGTAACGTCACGCTCGATTTACGTGTTTCATTCCTTTTGAGAGGCTTCCAGTGTCAACTGTCGTCGGCTTTTGCTTTTATGTTTGAGCATCAGACTTTTTTGTTCAAGTATCAAAATTAAAATTCCACAAAGACAAGGGCTTCACAATGATCCCACTGAAGATTTTAGATTGTTCGCGGGTTCGTGGTTTTCCAGCAAACTTCCCAACTTTTCTGATGAATTGGCAGTGGCGTTACAAATCTTAAACAAAATTTTATTTAAGCCGAAAGTTTTACCAAACTTTTGACGTGACAACGTCTTATAAATTGGTTTGCCGGGTGACACTTCAAGAAACTGCGTTACGCTCCGCTCACGTTATGCGCTCACAATGAGAGCGAGTGAGAGGCACGCGTCCCTTCCACTCGGGCATGGTTAGCCCGCCTAAGAGCGAGAGAGACAGATACGAATGAATATTCACATTAAAATTATTTTACCACTCAAAGTCGTTGTCACGTAAAACTTTCGCCCGTATACCGACTTTACAGGCAACCAATTTTTTTTTTGCTATTGAACGGCACCCCGTTCAATAGCAAAAAAAAGTTTTATTCTTATGATTCTTAGGCTGTCTGTATTTATGTATATAGGTCCCATACCTACACAATATATAAATACACAGACAGCATATGTGGGCTATTCTATGAAACTGATGAAAACATAAAAATAGAGAGGAAGCATTAGTATTGCCAGTTTGAAAGTACCAAATGTACCACACTTTTGTTGTATTTTTTTTTTATTAAAATCTGAATATGAGTGTAAATAAGCCAATTAACCTGATTTATGGGTTAAAATTAAAATAGGAAAATACTTATATTTCTTAACAGAGAATGAAAATATTCTATTAAATCTTTCTTATTTTTGAGGGAGGTGAAAGTTAACGATTTAGGGACGGCGCTCAAACAATTAAGCAAGATTAGAGTACCTAAACCAATATTACTTTTTTGCTTAATGGCTGTTTCATTGTTTCTGAAGTGTAATTTAATCCAACCTTGTTCATAGTAATATTATAAAGGTCTTATTTTACCAGCCATACCATTTTACTGCTAAAAAACTGCTGCTAAAAAACTTAGACATAAGTGTAATTTTGTTGTTTTTTGGTTCCCTATAAAATTTAATTTTAGTAGAAACTTTTAAATTTTGGCAGCACCGTGTTTTTCCGTTGTGTTATAAATGACATTTGAAAACAATGTGAAGTTGTTATTTTGTGATATTTTCTTTTATAAATAATATAGAATTCGTGACATAATGTTGGTTATTTATACTAGAATATTGTAGTGTTACTTAATTTGTCGTTATCAGTACCATCAAATATGTGTCAATATTTGAGTATATAGGAGAAATTGCTTACAATATCTTTGTCTAATTTCTAAATAAAAATGACTTCCACGGACATAACAGTGATAGAAAGACTTCGGAAAGAGAATTTAGAACAGTTTTTTACTTTAGTGCGTATGCATTTATCCTTTGTTGTAGATATTAATTCTGACGAGTAAGTATTAAAAGTTCGTTATAACCTTCTGTCTATTTCCGGCCTATTGTATGAAAACCATGATAAAAACATTGAAAATTGTAAAACAAAAAGTCAAATTAATCTATGTCACGCACGAATATCTATGGAACTATTACAATCCATTTATAAAAACAAGAAAATAATTTTACAAACAATGCAATTTAAAATTTAAAAATTCATGTCTTTGACGTCTTTATTCTTGAGGATATTTTAAACTTACAATTTAGTGAAATGATAACAAAAACTTAAATATAATGCTAAGGAATGGAAAAAGAAATCTATATGAAATGATTGTTTTTATTCCTAGATGAATTAAATTAAAATTTCAAGAGTATTAATATGAAACTTTCAGCTGATTTACTAAGATATTTTACAACCTGTGCAGCTCAACAGTGAAATGCATAGCAGGAATGTACTAGGCATATGCATGCTTAATTACTAACCACTTTATGCATAATTACTAACCACTTTATGAAAAGTCTGTGATTACTGTCATTATTGTAATATTAACTTTTAACATTACCTGCTATACTGCATCACCATTATCACTTGATGGTGATCATCTGCCTGGCATTGTCCCAAATTTATTTAGGGTTTTCCCAGTGTCTAAGTTTGCAAGGGGTTATGGCTGATTTCTTTTATGGCCTCCACCCCTTTGGGGATGTGAAACATTTAGGTAAGACAAAGGTAAATGGAGGTAAGAAATGCAAATACTACAAGGGAGTTAGGGGGTTTATGTATGTATGTGTAAATAAAAATAAAATCATTATAACATAATTGTGCTTTGTTTTCCAGTGTTGATTGTTCAACTGATAAACCAAAGCAGTTCCGGTGGAATTTCCACAAGAAAACAAAAAGTTCCAATTCAAATTCTAGTCAAATTAATGTAAATAACACAAAGAATTCAGCTGAAGTAAACTCTATAACAGAGGAAGGCATTCTGAGGGTCACTGAGCTAATAGATTTTCTATCAAAGCCAGACAGTGAGTATGTAGTTTATTTGTAGGTGTTACATCTTCTACTATAGTACAAATTTTACCTGTCTCTTTAACTGTATTACATTATCTGTTATCCTTAACTTGCTCTAAAGGTTCACTGGAAGAAAAATCTGATTTGAATTAGGCTTGCCTTTGTATATAACATTTCCCTATTGTTGTTAAACTGCTTAACAATATTTGTGATGCTTTTCTGTGTATTTAGTTAAAATGATAAAGGAGCAACAGACCCTATTACCTGTTTCCAACTTTGATTTCAAATATATCTGTCTAGGGTTATTGTTTTACATATTTATGTGGGATTGCCTTGAAGTTTAAACATCAATTTTATTAGTTTACATTTTATAGATTATTTAGATAATGAGCTGAGTAAATGACTGACATAAAAGCTTTATTAACAATGAGTTACATTTTATTTAAAATCTATATATATAAAAGAAAGTCGTGTTAGTTACACTATTTATAACTCAAGAACGGCTTTACCGATATGGCTGAAAATTGGTGAGGAGGTAGCTTAGAGCCAGGAGACGGACATAGGATACTATTTATTCCGAAACAAAAAAAAATAAAATGGATGCACTAACTTTGCTTTACTCGGAGATGCCACGTTATTATACTTGGAATGCTTCATCGAAGAATTTTCAAAGACGGAAGATTTTATCTAAGAAAAAAATTAACTTACTAAATTCGAAAATCGGCTTATTTATCGCCTTTAAGGCGGAACAGAGTTCGCCGGGTCAGCTAGTATGTGATAAAAGAGAAAGGCTGAAGATTGTAGTTTATGTTTGACTATTTAATTAATATAATATATATTCATAATAATAATTACAGATGTTACCCAAGAAGGAATATTCAGACGGACAGGATCACTATCCCGCCAGCAGGAGTTAAAGAACTTACTTCTCACTGGCTCCAACCTTGGTCTTGATGAAAGAAAATTTACTGTTCATGATTGTGCGTCTGTCTTGAAAGGTTTTCTAGCTGAACTACCCCAGCCTTTACTGATGGATCAATACTATCAGACATATTGTACTTTAGCAGGTAAGAAGATTAAAAAGAAAACCCATTACATGTTATTGACATGGAACATCGGTTGCAGCTCACATGGTTATCTCTATAAGGTTTAACCTTGTGTAACCTTTAACCTTACATGATACAATTATGGTTGAATAAAAATCTGTTATATGAATTTATAAATAGACACTTATTGTATTCACAGTTCAATATCCACCGAATGCAGAAACATCAGAAGTCAAGCTCCTGACGGCACTTCAATTGCTGCTTTTACTACTTACTCCATCTCACAGGAGTTTCTTACAAAGATTATTACTACTGTTGAGGCTGGTTGCAGACAATGAGTCTTCTAACAGAATGTCGCCAGATACTTTGGCCACCATGTTCACCCCACACTTGCTCTGCCCCAGGAAGGTAAGACTAATAAAGGTTTTTTAATGTAATATTTTTTTTTCTTTTAGTTTTTTTTTAAATTATATTTATTTAATTGAGTTTATTTCACATCTATTCCATCTTTACGTTGAACGTGGTTTAACAATAAAAAAATAACTTGGAATCCAAACACCTCCAAGAAGGTTTTGGCCTACTACACCACGCTGGCCAGACGGGCTGGGTTTTGTGTCAAGTTTTCCTTTTCTTTGCAGTGCTGTTGACAAGCATAGTTTGCTTCCTTAGTTGGCTCTTACGAAACCCAGGGGATGAATAGGGGTGGTGACACTCCGTATTCTTAATTCGTTACCACACGGACGGATATTAATGTATATAGCTTTTTTTGTCAGTATAGTATAAAAATACACGCTTTTGTAACTATCCGAACTAAAAAGTAGAAAATAATTTTCTATAAGTTCAAAAAGAAAAATCATTTTATCGTAAAAATGCGAAAGGTGGTTTTACGGCTTGTTACAAACCCGTTTATTTAGCTTTATGAAACTATAATTTTTTTACTTCTTAATAGATTTTTTTTTCAGTTATCACCAGAAACCTTTCATGCGGACTCAATAGCTTTATCTCCGGTTATCAGCTTTATGATTCGGCAGTCGTCACGGTTGTTTGATGCGCCTACGCAATTGACAACCGACGCGGCTGTGTACTTCACCGTGAGGGAGAAACGGAGAGCCATGTCGCCTGATGTGGACCTTGACGAAAGTATTACTGACAAGTTAGTGTCACACATTCTGAACACTCAAAACTGTATCTTCGTTTGCTCAAATACGTTCTAACATTTAGGCTTTCAATGTATTTACCTAAATCAGTAGTATTAGGTTACGAATAGGCTGGTTAGCAGAGGCATGTTTGTTATAAGGATAGATCCTTCGATCACGATTACTATTCTAGCCATCAGTCATTCAGTCATTCATCGTCAGGCTTAACAGGCTGCGTGATAATCTTGTGTAAAAACGTGCTTATATATCAGGAGGTTTTCATTGTGGAGTAGCAGTGTACTGAGCAGATTGGCTTGATGGCGATATGTACATAGTAATCAATAGAGGTTTTGAAATATTTCAGGACCGCTGCCAACACGGTTTACACGTTCGTGGACCGCCATCGGACGCGAGTCGAGAATGAGACCAATCCAACAGACACTGCGCTTGCGCAACTATATGCGCATATACAAGCATTACCTGACTCACAACACAAAAGGAGACTTATCAAACACTTTAATAGGCAGAATGGATATGGTAATATTCGTTTTATTCTGGGATTAAAATAGGAAACCACAAGTAGTTAGTTAGTTTGTGTTGGCGGGAAGTACGATTTAATGACTTACTTTTTTCTTTGACATTATCGAACACGCTGCGTATACCTGTATGTACGTGCACGTATATAAAATAATTGTATTATAAAACGAAATTGTACCTATTCAAAAGAAATGAAGGCAGCACCAATGCTATTAATACGTGTTATTATGGTGGATGCTTACGCGTTTTAATCTATGAGGACCTCTCTCAAGTCAACCTGTATATTTTTGGCCAACTCAAAATAATTTTGATACTTACATAAGTGTAGGAGTTTAGTTAGACCAACTAGTTTATTTTTTAAATATTTTTCGCTTTCAATTAATTTCTTCGGTTCTATTTTTTTTTATAAGGTTCTGTAATGAATACCTAATAGAGGGCTTGTCCCTTATTACGTAAGTGGACAAAAAATTACAATCTGCAAAATGTGGGCGTTTAATTCGCGTATGTCTACCCTTTTGGGGTGAGGTACATGCCTGTATGTGTGTACATTAGAAGACAAATTCCATATCCCACAAGTTACTGATAGTCAATAAAAGGATATCCTATGCAATTTACAGGGACTCCAATACAAATTCAACGTACAGGTAAAATCGCCGGTTCCAAAAGTTTCGGCGACTCCATCAAGAGACACATATTTAACAAGGGCCTGCTCAATAAAACACCAAAGAAAGGTTCTGGATCTAGTATCAATGTCATTGAGGAGGTAAGAAAATATTTGAAATTATACTACAAAGAACTTATCCTTGGTAATCAATTTACTTTGAAACGAGCATATTGAATGTCTTGGCTAAATGGTTATTGAATACAGTAATAAGATTAAAAAAATAATAGTCAGAGGCTTTTTTTTAAAGTTGTAGCCTCTCTTTGTCTTTGATAATCATTTTTTCATGCAGTTTACTATTTCGTTTAGTCTTTTAGCATAGTCAGCGTAGCCAGCTCCTAAGCTTTACAGAAAATAAGTTGTTTTCTGTAAATATTCTTTTGTGAACAAATATATTTTTGGAGCATTATTTTATTATTGACATAAAAATAACTATAAAAGACATAAGACGAGATACCAATATCATTACATAAAAATACTTTTTTCTTAATGTGAAAGATATTTTTAAAAGATCTGCCGTAAATCCTTCTGGACTATTACTTAGTATATTTTTAACATCATATCTTTCAAAGTTCCACTGAAATCATGTAAGGTTAATTTTTTTTTCACAATAACAATTTAGTCTTGAGTTAATCTAATAAATAACTTATTATTCAACTGCGCCCAACTAAAGCATGTACATATGTCTGTGTAACTAACACTGTGATCGTGCATTGTGTATGTTTAACTTTCTCTGTGTCTGTGTGTCTATCCCCTAACTTTCTCCCATGCTTAACGCTTACAGAAAACCGCCAAAGGGAAGCTAAGGTTCACAGACGATAGCAAAGTCGATGTATCGCATAAAAACATAATACTTAAAAACTTGGCAAGCAAAATTGCAAGTTCAGAGTCGTTAGATGACGATTACGAGTCGGACGCCAGCAATGAGAGCACGTTATCCGAGGGTGCATTAAATAGTCCCCGAAAAATGAGTCCGAAGTTCGTATCCGAACCTAACTTGAGCGTTCTAGATGCTAATGATGAAACTCCCAAGAAAAAACGAGGCAACAGACTTTTTAGATCTAAAATGATAACCAATCATACCCTAAATAAAAAATATCAAAAACGTAACGGCGCGATACGCGGCACTCCCACGTGTGTATCTTGTGTCGAAGATCAAGACACGGGCTCAGAAAACGACATTTCTTACCATCAAATGAGCAGTGACAAGAGCCCTGTTGAAGATACGCCAAAGAAATTTCTAGAAAATGATAAGAAGTACTTAACTAGTACGCCGGGTATTTCTGATGTCGTTTTCGATGAAGACTGTGCTACGCCTTATACGATCAATTTTAGAAGAGCCTCAATGTCGCCTATTACGAAGTCGACCCAAAAGTTGTCTAAGGCTATGCAGGTTTGTTCATTGGCACGTTTGCATGTTTCATCCGTTTCTCTTTAGTTCTGCTTGTGTGTTCAGGGCTTGTTGTTTAAATGAACATAACTCCATTCTCACCAATCAATCACTACGCTACTGCCAGGAATGGCTTGAGATGAGTTTAGTATGTGAAGTGCCATTTTGGAGAAAAATAAGCATCGGTAAACATATTCTTTGTGTTTTAATTATAAGAATGTTCTCATGAGGGTAAAATCCTGCCAATACAATTAAAATTTTTGTATTTGCATAATTGCACAGTATGTTTGTTAGTGTGAATAAATGTGGGGCTAGTTAAAAATTTAGACTAAAAGGTGTTTGCCGATTATTTTAATTTCTCCATAATTGCTAACTGTACGCCACAGCCGGTTGACACTCCGGTAAGGTAAAGAAAAACTGCATCTAAAATACCTATATGTAATTGATATTTTATCAATCATAAGACCTACCGTCCTGTATGGTTCTGAAAGTCGGCCCTTTAAGAGAACGGATGAGAGACGACTGAACGCAGCCGAAATGCGAATGCTGAAATGGATGTATGGTGCGACTCGGATGGACAAGGTAAGGAATAAGCATATACGAAGGAGTCTGGAAGTAATATCTAAAAGGTAAGAAGTAACAGGTTATCTTGGTATGGACATGTCACGCGGAGAGATGAGGCAAAGAAAATGTTAGGAATGGGACTTCAGGGGTACAAGAGGAGTGGAAGACTAAAGAAGAGGTGGATGGACTGTGTGAGTGAGGATATGGCTAGCTATTTACTCCCTAAACAATGAGATGACGAATGATAGAATAGAATCGAAGAATCATACATACTGCGTTGACTCCAAATAAAATTGGGATAAGAGTAGGCAGATGATGATGATGATATTTGAACGTTTGTTTAAATCTATTGGTTGTTAAATTAATCCTTAAGTAATCTGTCATCAGGCTTACCAGTATTTAACATGCAACCTTAAATAGTCAGTCAAGCTTGACGATAAATTAATCTAGCAATTTATACGTTTCGTTATAGATAACACACTGCGCGTGGCAAACATTTATATCACACACGTCGTACAAGCTAAAAAGCGCTGTATTCGATGGTCTTTATTTTTAAATATTCAGTGTGCTTAATCTTAAGTATTATACTCCACAGGAATCCATAATGACTCCCCGCTCCCGCAAACCTCTAATAATAACATCAGAACAACGCGACAGCATGCCGGAAACGGTAGAGGATAAAAACGAAACGGCAAAATCAGATGGGATGTACCAATCTATGTCACTGAAGAACGATAGTGACTTTGTGTCGTCAGACGATGAGAATGACGTCACTAGGTCTAGCTTTTCTTGCGAGAGGTAACTATTAATAATATAGTAATAGTTAAAAACATATTTTTCGTACAAAATTGAGTTTGTTAAAATTTCAAGACAACCACAGCTTACAGAGACTTCTCTTGAGCCTAGAGCTTGCTAACAAACGGTTATTTTACAGATCAAATCAGTCAACGAGTAAGTCATTACACAGGAACCCCTTAGACGCCAGATCTGTTTCTCTCACTGATGTCAGCCCCTTAAGGTCGGAGAACACGCGGTTTATTCTCGCTCATGAACGACCGAACATAGTTGAAGATCTAAACACAACACTTTGTGGAAGCGAAGAAGTCCTACCAAAGTTTACAATGTCGCTGACAAATATAGACCAAAAAACAAAAGTGCTTTCCGAACCTTTTAGAGAATACTTACTTAGCAGATCAGTATTAACAGCAACTCCAATCGATTTATCTATACTAAACAAATCGAGTGACGCTGATGAAAAAATTCCCGATTCGCTACTCTACTGTTTAGACGGAAATGTTCCTTCAGACCTGACGTTGTCGATTAGTAATTTAGCAGTTGATCGAGAATCGCCTATGAGGTCACCGTTATCGAATATAAATGTGAATATCGATAAGAGCCCGAACAGAAAGCGCGGTGCGAATAGCCTTATGTCAACGGATGAATCGAAGGCGGAAAAGAAAGCATTAGTTGACAAGGAAAATTTCAAGGAACAGGTTTTTGAAATACGAGAAACAGAATTGTAGAATTATCCTTTAGCATAATGAATCATGTGGGTTGTGATTGATCCACATATCAATCTCTAGTTGATTTTTAATGAAGGAGATGTCTAGATGAGAGTACATTATTCGTTATAAATTATACATCACATATTTTTATACTACTTTGTGCATGTGAATGTGTTTGTGTGTGAATGTGAAGTGTTGCAAATAGTGACCAACATATTAGTATTGAAAAGTGCCTAGAAAAAGACTATTAGTGGTAGATTACCCTTAGCAAGGGCTCACTACATCTATAGTGGACTGGTTTCAGTGTCGTCGAGTGCGTCACTATAACCAAGAATTTTGAGTGTTAGAACCAAGATCAAACTACTGTAAAAAAAACAGTATTTTCTTGTACAAAAGTGCCTTGTTCAAATAAAACCTTAATGAAAATTTTTAATTTTAGTATTGTAAGTGCCTTTACCTTAGATGGAGTATTTGTGAATATATCCATTAGTAGTTAATTATAAAACAGTAACTTATAAAATAAATCGTAAGAACCGACTAAGGGAGCAAACTATACAAACCCGTCTGGCCAGCGTCGTATAGTAGCCCAAAACCTCCTTTCTAAGGAGAGGCCTATGTCCAGCAGTGGACTATTAAAGGCTGTTGATGATGATGATAAAATAAATTACTGATATCCATTTTTTCATCTTAATGTTCCATTCTTAAAGTGCCAGATTGATGACAATAGGCTTGCCTCCCCCCTATTACGTAAGTTGGATAAAATTATAGTTGTGTACTTTGTCGGGTATAAAATGTAGGCCTGTGTTACCCCTTCGAGAGTTTAGGCGTGAGTGTATGTACAAATATATGAAACCTATTTTGCTTTTAATGTGATAATATAGATTCTTTGGTCTTTATTAAGACCCTATCGTTGTGGAACATTTATGGGTCCATTTACAGGTATCTTATCTAAGGTCTACTTAGGTTTAGACTCTTGAAAACAAACCAAAATGACTGGAATATGAGGTTTTTTGCATGATTATTTATGAGATTATTATTTCTGAGTACTATTAATATTATTACCTGTATTATGAAACTTATTGTACAGTATTTTTACCCATTTTATTATTGTATGTCAAAATATGAACAAACAATTGTTACCTGTAATTCATTGCGTTAAAGTAATTTTGTTTTAGTACATAAAATATATTCAACTCAGTTATTCACAAATATTTGTCGTTAATAGACAAGTATGAATATAGAATTATACTTGAAAACGATTTTTATTTTTATACCGCGGTAAATTGACATGAAGACGAAGTCAAAACTAAAGTGAATTTATCACAATGTAAGTCCCTTCACAAGTACTACAGGTGTTTCGAAGATCATCGGAGAATAACATACAGGTGAAAAAAAAAAACTGTACTATTTTAATCATCTATTGCTAAATACACATTTGCTAAGAAGGTTATATTATATATAGGTGCACTTCAACATTACACTATTTTTTTTTGTTTTAGTATCACAGCGGAGCTTTTGAGCTTGTAGAATAGCATTATGTAGTCCAAAAGGCCAATTCTCGTAATAAAAGTTCGGTCTCAATTCAGTTCCGACCAACTTTCGATCTCACAACTGTCATAAAAGGTATTTTCGTAGTAAAGTATTAAAAATCCAATGTTGACAGTAATGTACTTATATCGTATTGTAACCGAAAATTGAATCCGTAATCTGCTAGTCATAGTAATAGTTTACAATTTTACTAAGACAATAACTTTTATGACAGTTGTGAGATCGAAAGTTGATCGGAACTGAATTGAGACAGAACTTTTATTACGAAAATGGGACTATACATTACATTTTGGGTTTCCACTTTTATTACCTGGACAATTTTAATCCAACTCCAAACATTTTAAATGACAAATAGAACGAAGCCAGCTGCTATTAACAGTATAGTGAGATAACAATAAAATTTACAACAGCAGTGGTAGAAGTTTAACATGCATCTCTGTTTGAACGAGTCGTGTTGATATCTGAAAAGAAATTACGACGCTCAAAATATTTGTGTGGTGTGATTAACCCTCTAAATTTCAATCACAACTGAGACTTTTAAAGACACATTATTTAACTAGACGTGAGCATTTTGCACTACAATGTTAAATTTGCAAAATGTTGAACCCCAAAATTTTGAGTCATGTGGATGCAAGAGGCGCAGGATAAATCCAGGTATCTGACCGGTCTGACCAATAGAATATTCTCGTCTTCTCGATAAAATAACTTCATAAATTCAACATTTTGGGATTTCACATTTTACAAATTCACTAAACATTTCTAAATAAACACTTGGGAAAATGACACAATGTTGATTAGTTTCTGGTTCTCGCCAATATTTGGTCTTTATAATTTGAAATCTCTTTTGTCACTTTTCCATAATCTTAAATATTCAATACAAATCAATCAGGTGCCTAAAGCATGTCATTTTTATTCAAAGGCACCCCAAAATACAGAAAGGTATTTCCTCCATTAATAGCTATTCTACAACCCTTACACATATATTCTCCACAAATGTTCCAAATATGATTTGGATTAGTCGTTTCATTGAGCCATTCATGTCGCTAGATTTTAAGATAGCGAAATATGAAAATTAATACGATTCAGTGACAAACTTCAAAAATAAAGCAATTTAAGCTGCACAAAATTCCGAGAGAGAAGAATTGAAAAAACCTGACATAAGTAGGTAAATATTATCAAAGTGAGAGATAAAGCTAAATTTTGTAAACGTAAGTAACGGTCAAAGTAGTGTAGGTAAATCGATTTATTAAGCTTACGAAGGATTACGTATTATTACTGAGTTTGGAGTGGACATAGCTGGGTAAAGGATATTGTAGTTATTCTTCTGTATGTATATCTACCTTTGTAAAAAAACAATTATAGGAGTGGGAATAGTTCTGACTAGAAACCCAGTTTTTATATCGTTCAGGTAACTTCAAAGGTAGATTCCGCAGAAGGACGAAAATTGAAAGCATGATAAAGGCGGAGTGAGAGAAATGAAAGTTTTGCACCCTTAGCCAAAATTAAAAAAAAATAAAGGCTTTTGACTGCTGTGACTAAGCATCGTAGGGCCCCAAAGAATCAAGGAAACAACACCCGTATTGGCTAACGTATATGAAACTTCTGATGAATGTGGAAGGGAAGGATGTTAGCTGTGTGTTAGGATATACGGTTAGGGTCTGACATGTGGATCATTACTTATCACAGTAATTATCCACATGTTAGACTGCCTCTGTTAAGGAAGCCGGGACGGATGTGGCGGCGTGCTGTTGGCGGTGTCATTGGACATCGCCAACGGCTAGTGGCAGACTATTTAGAGGAGCGTACCGTCGTATACGAGGACCGAGATGGTAATTTTAGGTGTAGGCCCATGTCGTGCGGAGTTCCATAGGGGTCTGTTCTTGGACCCCTCCTCGGGAACATAGGGCACGGCACGCACCTGGGTACCGGGTACCTGGGCACCGGGTTACCGCACCGTTTCGACGGAGGCGGCGTGCGCATTGGCCGGAACAACCCCGTGGGATTTGGAGGCGGAAGTGCTCGCCGAAGTATATCGGCAGACGGAAGGTTCCGGGCGGATAGCGGCATTCGGCCCCCGGCCGAAAAGATACGCGAGTGGCGTGAGGACGCTCGCCGAGCCACGATGGCTCGTTGTTCGTCCAGGCTGGAGGCTCCACTTGCTGGTTTTGCCGCCGTGGAGGCGCTCCAGCCGTCGAGTGGGCAGGGCGACAGCACGGGACCCTTTCCTTCCGGCTGACGCAGGTCCTTTTCGGGCACGGCTGCTCGGGAAGTACCTGCACTCGCTGGTCACCCCTGCGACTGCAGTGAGACTCGGCTCGGCATACGCTGGCAATTTGCCCGGCTTGGGCGCCGCAGCGCCGGGTCCTCATTGCAGTCGTCGGGGGGATCTCTCGCTACCGGCCGTCATACGCTCCATGGCCGATAGTGACAGATGTTTCACCACGGTCGTATCCTTCTGCGAAGACGTCATCTCGCAGAAGAAGGCGGCGGAGAGGGCCCGGGAGGACAACCTCCACTCGGACCTAATACGTCGCCAGTGAACCGGGTGGCGGAGGCGCGTTTACCACCGCTTCATGCCGCCCTGAGTGTGGCCGCGGGTGGACGGGACGGGTTTTCCCCTCCACCCGCCATAACGGCAAGCCGCGAGGAGGCTACGTCCGCGTGTGCCGGAGGTCGTCTAAATAGAGAATGTATCCGAAGGTAGTGCCCGCGCCGGTGCGGGCAGGCGCTAGAAGGGGTCCGGATGTCTTAATAACAGCAGTTCCTGGACCCCTTCTATTACAGGCGCAGAGTAGCACACCGTGTGGTTCGGTCCGATTCCGACACACCACCGCGCCGCAAACTTCGGTGCGGTGACGAGCTGAGGGGTTTCCACAAGTAAAAAAAGTGATAAGTAATGATTCTAACGTCTCTGGACCAACTTAACGGATACGGACGGGCGTGAGCATATGAACCAAGACAACGGAGTATTACTAAGATCTTCCAAACATATCTACGTTGCCGCTTCTGTCTAAGAATCCAAGCTCTCCAGGGCTGTCAACCCAATAATTGTAAATTATTGTGTTGACAACCTATAGTACCCTGTAGTAGTATATATTAATATTTCGCATCTGAATTTAAATTTAAAATAAGAAGTGTACGAATGTTAGTATAAAATAATAACCTACATGTTTGAACAGGGCCTTGTGGATATTTTCCTATTTCTAATTTTCGTATTCTTTTTTGGCTTCCGCGTAATGATCGCCATAGCCCTTGTTTCTTTTTTTGGTAATTTAAAATCTTCTATTTCCCGTTCTATTCGTTGAAGTGTTATTTCTTTACGTCGAAGATCTTTTTCTAACTGTTCTAAATCTTTACGAGATTTTGACTCCTTCCGCCTTTTCTGCCAAATGGTAGCCTTTGATGCATGGGTTGGAGTTACGCGGTGTACAGCAATGCGTACTGGTAGAGGCAGGCTGCAGGCTTGGCGCTCTTTGACGACGACGTTAGGTCTGTCAACAAGTCCAACATTCACCTTCAGTCCTACGTTTTGGTTCGCTGCAAAATTACGTTTTAATTTTATAGGTACGTGTTTGTTTTTATTATTCTATTCAGTGATCTTTTGTTAGGATTTAAAAATGAGATACTAAACAATTTTGTGAGTAAAGTTTTCCTACGGTCAAAATTAATGAAGAAGCTGACCGCTCGTATCCATTGCCATTGCACCGACCAATTTCTGAACCGATCTTTGCATTGTTGGAAATATTAGGCTTGGTCCTAGTTTTATCTGGAACCCATTCTGTACAAGTGCAATCATATTATTTTAATATCGATTACATAGTTATAACATTAATTTGTAAAAACTGACCGCACAGGCCAGCAATGTAGAACTCATGTTGGCATGAAATAGTTAAGTCAACAAATTACTCAATTGTGGTAATTTAATTTTACATTCACATTAAAATTCAATATCTTTGTTATAAAATCGATCAAAAATTATAGAAATCATGTACAATAATTAAAAGAAAATAGAGATATTAAAATACTGTAGGCTTATGTCGATCTATATCTTTTCGTTGATCAAAAAATGCATTTTTTAAGGTCTAAAATAATAAAGAATTTGTAATTTAATAAGGCTTTTTTAAGAACGTACTAGGAAGATATCCTTTGTCGTGGGAGATTACAAATATTTATAAAAAAGACACAGAACGGGTGCCAAGACAGACAATTTAGTGGATCACAAACAGTGTTGTCCCACGTGGGGATCCCGCCCACAATACTCAGTAGAAAGCGACGAGGTGTGACCGCTTAAACCATTACGCCATCCGTGCAGTCAAAGGATGAATAACTATATATAATTTGATGAGGGCTTTAGTTTTATATAAGTGCTATCAACACTATTAGTTGCAAAAATTCTTTTAATAAGAAAAATATGCGCTCTATATAACACTTACTTTAGGTGATTCCTGGTAACGCCAACTCTCTTGGTATCCGGAGTGTTGCATTGCTTGTGTTCTCGCGTAGTCGTGGTCGAATCGACCCTCAAACCACGGGCTACCACTTGATTTCGTGACATGAATGCGTTAATCACATGATAGTAGCTGTTACTGGTTTACAAATTTAGATCATAGCATTTTCATAGGAACAATAGATATACACATTTCGGATTTTTTAAAAGACGCGGTTCTAGGTCTAGTTCAGTGACTCTTTTATAAGGATTTATTATAGTCATTTCGTGATCGCTATCATAATATATTGGTTAGTATTTATTGTTTTAATTTTTGCAGTGGGACATTGGGAAATCAAAAAATAAGATCTGACATGTTAGTTTTATCACGAACGGTGCTTTTCTTTTTTTGTGTCTACCAAAGAGTTGCTTATTACATTTCAAAACATTACACTTTTACCCGAAGATCTTATATAAAAAGTTTCTTATCTAATGGGTGTTATTACGAAGAGAACTACAGCAAGTTAAATGTCCAGATATCTCCATGAGTGGACGCTGCGTTTGTTGACATTTTGCAATTTCATTCAAAATAATAAATAGGTACATTGATTTTGCTTAGAGGATTGTTTGCATCTGCGATACAGACGCAGTATAGCTTGTATTGTAATCGTTTTATTGACTAACTACCTAGAAGAGGTTTCTTTCGATTTAAGAATTGAGTGTTAGAAGCTAGTGTACTATTATGTCAAGCAAAGAGTTTTTAACGTAACGTTTCATCATCATCAGCCTATCGCAGTCCACTGCTGGACATAGGCCTCTCCCATTGCACGCCACTTAGATCGATTTTGGGCTTCTCGCATCCAACGTAACGTTTACCTTGGTATAAATGATGGGATGATAATCAATAGTCTCCATCTTATATAGAAGGTAGATTTCAGTATGAGAAAGACTCCATAGAATGATGCAATTCACGTATTTCTTAAAGTAGTAAACTATCTCTTGTCTTTTTTTATTAATCAACATTGTTACAATTTACTAGAAATGAAAGACAAAGTAGGTAAGTTCTTGAATATATTGTTAAAAGTTGAAATATTTAAATATAGTGTGTTCATTATACTCGTGGTAAACGGCGTGGATGGGACAATTAGCTGTAAAGTATAGCTTAACACTATTATAAGCATTTTTTATTGTGATGTTGTAAGGATACCCAATAAATAAAAAAATAAGCACGCTAGTTACAGTAACCAAAAAAAAAGTGTTACACCTTGCATACAAGTTAGTGATGTGCTATTACTCTCCTACAATATGAATATTTAATCTAGCAATATACTTTTAATCATATTTATATCTCTGTAAGAACATTTTCCACATATCAACGTTTCATAAAAAGCAATAACTGGCTTGTCTGGAGTGTTTCCTTAACACATATAGTTAGATAACAATCGTTTTGATCAAGATATGAACGTATTTTTTTAACTATTTGAGTGATAGACGGAGGAATATTTAAATAATGAATGCCTAAGGTAAGGCAAAAACACACTTTCGACTAGAATTTATGTTATTTTTTTTATTTTGTTACAATAATATGTTATAAAGTTGTTTGCAGTGTTGTATGCAGTTTGTTTTCATCGTGATTAATACGTATAGTCCAGTGGCCAGGAAAAAAATTGGTCAATTAATTCCTCTCGAACGATAGTATTGGTGAAACGCATCAGGAAATAGCATCATTAAGCCTCGAGCACGTCACATCACGTACACTGAAGTGGGTCTTACGTCTCCCCATTGACCTAAACAGACAGATTAAAAACAGTTTTTTTTATTATCTAAAAGTTAAAAAAGAAATATTTTATGTTGCAATTAAAATATTTACAACATTTAGGTACACTATTTACATATAAGCATCAAAAAATTCAAATGATTAAACAATTATTACAAAATCATCAATAAATAATAATAATAACCAAAAAATAATATAACAAAGAACCCTGGCCCTGGCTCTATGGTACCTAAGTGTAGCAAATATAATCTAAGAAGTACACTTGGAAATTATTACTCGTACTACTTTTAAATCATATTATTTGTTAAAGTGATTGATTCTGGTCACAGCGATTTCACCTGTGATAAATCATTAGTTAGATTTAGTCACAGACAAACAATCAAACCGACCTTTAATCAGACCGATCCATCAAAACAATCAAACCGACCTTCGGTCAAAAACGGTCAAAAGTAGTAAGTACCGAAGATTAAACCGGACATACAAACTCACAAACTTAACCTCTTGATAATATTAGTATAGATAAATTACTCCCAGACACAGAACAAAAGATAATAATAAAGTATTAGGTATTAATAGAATTTAGACAAGTTTAGCCTTTAATCCACCCAAACAAAACGGTTCCGCCAAAATACACAATACACTGGTGTGCAGTTCAAGTAAGCAACATTGAGACGTAGACATTGTTAATTTATATCAATTTACGGGAGTCCGTAGCGAGTGCTAACAAGTTGGTCTAGTTGTTGGGAGAATTGTAACAAGAGGTGATTTAATTTGCCAGACAGTGTAAAGCTATAGTGCTGTATCTATTTATTGAGGGAAAGATCGAGATGTTTCGGATGCGGTAAATTTAATACAAAATACTGTAAATTTAAAATTGAAACCAACGACAAAGGTAAACATTTTAAATCAAGTATCAAACAAGCTATAAACAAATGTTCCCTCTGCTCCCTGGAAGCTCGCCGCCAACCCGGCCTGCTTCTGCTAGGGTGACAGATGGCCTCACCTGTCACCCCCTGGCCTGCGCTTATGAAGAACGGCGGTCGTTCTGCGACCTCCGTCCTTCATAAGCCTGAGTCGCCTGCGGTACCTGGCCAGTTCCCGGGCCTGGCGGGCCGGGAGAGTCCTAAACCTCTCCCGGTCCCGCTCCGCCGTCTCCTTCGCGAGCATAACTTGCTCGCAGAAGGAGACGGCAGAGTACAACGCACTCTCGCTCCGCACGATAGCCGCAATCAGGCTATCGAGCGAGAGAACTCCCACTCCGATGGCCGCCACGAGGTCTCGCCTCTGCTCAACCCGCGCCGGGCACTCTGCCAGCGTGTGGAGAGCCGTGTCCACGGTCTGGCCATCGCAGTGGTGGCACTCAGGCGTTGGCTCCTTGCGGATCAGATACAGGTGATCCCCGAACATCCTTTCCCAGTGATCACCTGCGTCAGTCGGTATGAGAGGGTCCCGTAACGCCTCTCGAACCAATCCTCCATAACGGGTCTTACCGCCGCGATGACTCATTGAATAAAATCGCTAAAAGTTTATTATAAAAGTTTACAAGTAAAAGTAACAAAACTGGTGATAGATATACTTATATACTATTAATTACATACATATTATTACAGATAAATTGCTGAACGGATGCACGGACGGCACGGATGGCTTAGTGGTTTAAGCGGTCGCCACGCCGCTTACTGCTACGCTGAGTGTTGTGGGTCCGATCCCCACACGGGACAACACTTAGTGTGATCTACAAGTTGTTGTTCTGAGCCTGGGTGTTCTTTGTGTTTGTTTCCATGTATGTTTCTAAAGTCCCTCGCGACACAAGATATATTCCTAGTGCGGGAGTTGTCTTCATTTAAGTAAAGTAAAGAAGATATTACAAATAGTTCTTCAAATATTACCAGATAACGACGTTTTGGTGAAGTTAATTGTGACCCTTCAATTTTATAACGTCAAGGATTTTATGGATACCGCATCCACATTTTCCAGTATTGAATCCAATAAATTAATAGTTCGTTGCAACAACGGGTGGTATTTGGAACTAAACTAGGTACATTGCGGCTGTTGTCGTCTTCGCCTATTGTGTTAACAACTGGTGTACCAATTCACTTAGCCATTTGTTGTGTGTTACAGAAAAGTATAGTTATTATATTTAGGGGTCATATCGTAGTAGTATAGAAAGAGCTAACCATTTTGAGAAATTTTATCATTTAAAAAAAAGCATACTTGATTTTGTATTATATAGCTATTTTTTATTATTTGAATGAGGATTCACATGAATGGAACTGTTTTTATTTAGCGTCCAGGATTTTGATGGAATGGTCATTCTTTTTGAATTTTGACTTCAGACTGATTCAGACTTTCTGAAAATGTTTGAATAATTAATATAATATGAAACGAAATTTACAACATAACCTTTAAAAAATGCATCTATACAACGAAAAGTATAATCCAAAAAAAGTATTTCTTAAAATTTGAAGTTTTTTCTTTTCAAGCTCAGCGAACTTAAAAAGTACCAAACAAAAGAATGAATAAAAGTACATAACTAAGTACCCACTAATAAATGATCGACGAACAATAAAATGGAAGCAATTTCCTGTTTAGATTAAATATTAGGTCAACACATTTTACTGTACATTAATCATTTATAAATTAAAACAATAAAGAGGAATTTCATTGAAATGTTCTCATTTATATTCATTTTTGTTGGAATGTACATTTTTGAACTTTGTAATAAACCATAAAGTAGAGAATGTCGTGTTAAGCTTCCTTTCGTAAATACCAGCTTAAGTAGACTTTGGTGGGTAACTTTTCCGACTTGTCAATAACATGACTATTTAGTAACCCATCTCATCCAAATTTGGTTTTAGATTTTTCATAGTTTTGATGGTTTAGTACGTTCATATAGGCTACCATTTTATATCAGTGCAACTCTAATTATTTAAAAAAAAATGGATTGGAATGTAAGTATCTAAACGTCAAGTCATACCAATAGATGAGGCTCATTTTCAATTGGTTGTTTTCTTTTTTTTCTTATGTACAACATGTTTTTGTGTGGGTCAAGTGTGTGTAAAAATAAAAGGTATTCTGTACCTGTTTGCATTGCGTACCTGTTTTATATATAACTGAACGGTACCTAAGTAGACTCCTCTCTCCCACTGGGCACTCTGTCCATTAATTCCTGCCAGATCACTAATTGATAATCAATATTTATCACCAAAACCTTTTTATTTCGAAAAATCCAGTTACAATAAATGACTACAGTACTTTCTATTCTGTCTATTCTAACAAAA